CGCACGCACGCACACACACACACACACAATCAGTTGTATATATATTGGTCTTTATATAAGTTGGCGTAAAATGACCGGTTTTACGAACCAGTTTTATATATGTTGGCCTAAAATGACCGGTTGGAACCACTGTTCCCAGTAACTGTGGTACTCTTCCACCCTCCACCCCTGATTGACCTCCTGCGGTCGGCACTTTGAACTGAGATACCCTGGTTCGTAAAATTGCATTCTTTTGCCACCAACAATTTGTTTGCCATCAAGGAACAATTTTAAAAGGGAAAAGTAGGGCGCAGTCAGGGTTTTCAGTTTTAATGGGTTGCAGTCATGATTTCGCGACAGTTGCTCCAAAGCGAGGATAATTGTGAATGTATACCAACCCAGCTTTAGGGTTGGGTGGGATGTGTTGTATTCTCGGGATGCCTGAACTGCATTTAGAACTAGAAACGCGACTGGGCCCTAGTTACCCCATTTAAGAAATATTTTTTTTCACAAAGATCAGCAGTCAATGTATGACCCTGATTGTTTTCAGATTCTTTCGTCAAGTAGTCTGAGCATGAAAAATTGCCAAAGCAGGCCTGTGGCGTCAGTGCCACAGGTGAAACGATGTGCAAACCTGGGCCTCAACCCCTTGCACCGTTTTGTTTGTAACGAGGACTGGTGACCTAAAATCCCATGATGCACTTCTACCGGACATCTGCCCGAGAACTGCTCCATGACCCCCTCTGAACCCCTCCCCAAAAGTGCACGCAAAGATCAGCAGTCAATGTACGGCCCTTATCTTTTTTCAGATTCTTTGGTCAAGTATTCCGAGCACAAAAAATTGCCAAAGCAGGCCTGGGTTTCACTTTACAGGTGAAACAGCTTGCAAGCCTCAACCCCTTGATGCACTTTTACCGGTCCTCTGCCCTCCAACTGCTCCCTGACCCCCTCCAACCCCTCCCCAAACGAGCACGCCCTTTGCAGTGCTGCTGTAGTCCTATTGAGGAAATCTGCCTCGGGTGTATAAATGCATGCCCTGGGGGCTGTGAACGGATCTTAGTAGCCTTTGCTCGTGAAGGTATGGTTTTCAAGTCTCCTTTTTGGTGGAGAAAGCAGTACTACACAGGTCTGCTCCAGATAAAATAGGAAAATAGCATGCTACTGATGCTGGCAGATCACACAGAAGTGAGTCGAAAAGGTGGGCCAGAGGCCCGCACACCGCGGGAAAATCAAGGGCGGGTGAGACCGCTTCGCCAAAAGCAAGGCGAGGAGAAAGACTCGACCTCTGTGAGACCTGACCCTTGTGCCGTGTGCCGTGTGCCTGCAGGTTCGCATTTGCGATGAATGCGGCGAGCGGTCGGGGTCTGGAGGGCGCAGCTCGAGAATCCTCGCAAGCTATCGTTGCTGGGCAGGCGTCCGTGACTTATACCGTCGTGGGTCAGGGCAGTGGGAGCGGTCGGACCAGTGAGGCTGTGCTCCAACCTGGGTAAGTCACATCGCTTATTCCTTGCCGTAGATGCTTTGGTGGTTCCTGTAGATCGTCGATGGATGGTACTTGTCTGCTGTTGTGATGCTCTCATCTGCAGATGCTGAACTTGTGCGGTCTCAATAAGGAAATCTGAAAAAACGAAGAGTCCCCGTAGTAGTTCCAACCGTGGTCCCGGTTGGTGGAACTGTGTGGGCTGATGATAACTGCAGAAGAGGTTTATCGCCGTTGGTGCAGTGGGTCAACCGGAGGGGTTGTCGTAGGCATAATGCCCATTATTTCATTAGGCCGTGGGTGTCCTGGAATATGAGCTTGGCCTGGAGGCAACCCCCCGGTAAAGATAGTGTTCCTAGGTCTGTGCTACCTCTGGGCCTACGGGACTGGGCCCAGCGCAGGGTCCGAACATAATACTCGAAAATCCTCACTGCTCCTGAAAGTCTGTAATCTGCAAACCGCCGACCCGCCCTAAACTTCACTTACCTGTCCCTCCGCTGTACACCTACGCCAAGTTCAGCATTTTCCTTGCAAGTTCCAACTCCATCCGTACCCAAAAAAAAAAAAAAAAAAAAAAAAAAGCCCTCCACCACCGCTCACAGTCGCGATGGCCGTGTGCTTAGTTCCTGATTGGTTGTTGGTTGTGTCCCGGCAGTGGTGGGCAGGTCGCCGATCGCCGGTCGCTTCACCGGAGACCGATCATGGGAGTTGGTTGTCAGGTCGCGGTTCCCACGGCCCATAGCAATGATTGCTGTTCTTTCGGAAAGCCGTCTAGGTGGCCTATAGGATTGTAGGATGAGCCGATGGGGGGGGTTTCGCCCCGAACAGGATTATTATAGGATTATAGGATTAGGAATAGGATAGCTGTCGCTGGAGATGGCCGCTCATCGCCTCGTCATTTTCCCCCAACAGCCTTTACCCGGGGCTAGGTCCCATTTACACGAATTAAGCGATATCGACCGTAGATAGCAAAGATCAACGGCCAGAATCTCTTAATGCGTGCAAGTGGGACCTTGCCCCGCCGACGAGGGGAGTTGCGGAAGGGCAAAGGGCATACCTATAGGGTCTCGCTCCGCTACGACTTCCGTAGACGTATCTGACCGCCTTTACGGCCGGTCCGAGCCGTCAGAATGTGTTTCTCGCAATCACGCGCGACCGTGGAGAGGCGTCTTGACGAAGGGCTGTTGTATCTCCCTGGCCTTCGGGAGGAAGCTGGCGGGAGAAGGGCACTCCGGCGGGGGGCAATAGTGGAAGTGGAAGTAGATGGCGGGCGTAGCGCGAAAAAGGGGGACCGAAAACCCAAAGTTCGAGCGAGCGCCAACTTGAGAAAGGGGGACATCCGTTAAAATTGGAACAATACAGAGAAAGAGAAGATTAGCATGGCCCCTGCGCAAGTAAGGGTGACACGCATAAATCGAGAAATGGTCCAACTCGATCACGAGAGGGAGGAGGTAAGCGCGGCGGGCGAACGGGATTTCGGCGTATCAATGTTTCCGTTGGATTCCTTGGGCGGCACGTTGTGCGACGACAATAAGTAAGCGGTCACCCACCATTTGGGACGAGACGCAACACTTCCGTCGACGCCGCGGTCGCTGGGAAGTGTAGTGACTGTTAGTATAGCGATGAGTCAGGGGTTGAAGCAATTGGCGGGATTGAGATCGTGTTTGTCAAGGGGTGTTGGGGCTAGTGGCAGGAGTAGCAGCAAAACGGTGAGTAGGAGCCGGTGGTTGGGAGGAAGAGGAGGAGGAGAGGAGGAGGAGGAGGTAGGTCCGAGGTCGCCGCCGTGGCAATTGCTGGGAGGTGGGGGTCATCATTGGGGTTGGCGAGGCCGTCGTGCGGCACTTTGCGCTGTGCTTGGGGTCGGAGCACGTGGAGCGGGCGGCTCGGAACACGTGGCACGGTGCTGTGTACACGTGGCATGCCCGCTGGCGCGTACGGCGGGAGCGGCTGAGAAGGACGAAAGAGTGGATAGTGCGAAGGACTGCAGGGGGAGAATGGATGTGCAAGAGCAAGCGCAAGCGATGCCTGCAGGGGAGGGCGGCGAGGGGCCGGTGAAAGGACCGGCCAGTGTTTCCAATGGACCATCTTCTTGTCAGATTGACCTTTCTTCTAGTACAGCTGCTCCTGCAGCAAAAGTCAAATTCTCCTACGATGGGTTCCACGTGTTGCGCGAGGGAGATGCTGAAATACTCCAGCGAGGCAACGATGTCTTCTACAACAAAGCGCAGGTTTGTAATTCCTATTTCGTCTGTTGCTTGGTCGATCTTCCTGTCCACATTGTGAGCTGGCTGCTTACAGCCTTGGCTGCCCTCGTCTCTTTGTGCCCTCCGGTTAATACAGTATAACTCAGAGGTTCTTCCGATGCTGTGTCCGTACTTGGCGCTGTTCCTGTCGTGCCTTTGTGTGTGCCCTCCGGTTAACAAAACTCAGGTTTACGATGTCATTGTAAAGTTTTTTTTTTTTTTTTTTTTTTTTTTAATATCGCAGTCAAAGAGTTGGCCAACGATGACGGGGAAAAAAAAAACAAAAAAACAACAGCAAAAAATTGTTCATCAAAAGAAAAGCCTTAATTAGATCAATTTGCGTTTTTCATTTCATCTCTAGCATGTCAGTAGAAGCCGTCCGTTTGCCTGTGTGTTCTTCAGGCTGCATCTTCTAGGACGGCGCCCGAGCTTGCTCGGACTCGATCCACGTGTCACGGTCGTCGCACGTTCTTTCTTCTGTCGATGCGAAAGGGCTACATTTGTCGCCCCGGGCAGGATGAAATGTCGCACACTGTGTCGTCATCGCCGCGCAGTCCCTGTCAAACACTACACACTCTTGTTGTTCAAAATTCCGTGAAGATACCCGGGTCGGCGGGGAAGGCTGAAAACGTTTTTAGGGACTCTTGAAGAAATTCGCCTCTCACCCTTGTCGCACAGCCGCATCTGTTACACAGTGCGGTGATGGACGCGATTGTGCTGGT